AAAAATGTTTATTCCACTATTTGGGGTTACAAAATAACATATATTAATACAAATGTTTTTTCAATTATATTTGAGGGCATTATTTGCAACCCTGATTACAGTACCTAAACCGTGTTTCACAGTGTAATCTCATATCAAAATCAATATAGCAAGAATTAGCAGTGATAGCCTGTCATTATTTTCCTCAACACTGTATGTGGCTCATATAATATGTATACAGTCTCGTATACTCGCGAAGCGTCCAAGGCACGCTTGGGTGCCTACATCTCGATGATGGCTCGACATTGACATTGCTATACAAAATAAAAACGGCATTTAATACACTGTCAATTGTTGTACAAAAKTTTGGCATCGTATTTCCATATCGGATTGCCTCAGTTCTGAATTAATCAATATTTGCTATTTTTATGTTTTGTTTTGTTTTTGCTGATGGTTGATGTTTCTCTGTTTACTTCCGCGGTTAGCTAAATCACTGCTATGAAATCTTTCGCGTGGTCGTAGACTTATGAAATTATGATTAACTTTTTTTTGCGACAAYAATAAATTTTCAAAACAACAGCTGTGAATCTGTAGTCACAGTCAATTTCCACTTCGTCGCTGCACGTTAATTACGATGCTTTATTTGTTTTTCTATGCTCTTGAGAAGGTGAGGTTGTTAACCCCACCTAAGGCTGTCAAATATGATTGCGGCTCAGCTGAAATGCTTGAGCTAACATATTTTCATTCACAAGCGTTCTAAAATTTATGATTTATTTCATTGTTTCAAGTAGTATATGTGACTAAAGAGCATGGCAAATATTAGACAAGTTTAGAATAGGCCTTGCTTAGTTTTGTTTCAGATTCTCGCTTCAAACGCTGTGTATTTGGAAATTCCCCTCTGTCATACGATTAGTCATCTCATTATGAGAATATTGAAGTAGAAACATACATTGTTGAAAAATTAGCAAGTCGCAAAACCCTGATAACCTTCATKATAAATATAATATACAAAATTTTGTAGTCTATTCTATGTTCGTTAAGGTGATCCAAAATTAATGACATAAAAATTATCGTCAACGGCTATTTAATGTGACTTATTAGTACATCGATTCTCTGTTTCACAACTTAACGTAACTTAACTTACTTAACGTAACTTATCTTAACTTAGTTTAACTTAACGTAACTTTATTTAACTTAACTTAACTTAACTTAATGTAACTTAACTTAATGTAACTTAACATAAATTAACCTACTTAACGTAACTTAACTTAACTTAACTTAACTTAACATAACTTAAATTAACTTAACTTAACTTACCTTAGCTTAACTTAACTTAATTTAATTTAACTTATCTTAACTGTAGTTTACTATTAACTGAATATTAATCTTTTTACGATTTGCGGTAGGATTTCAGTTCCAGTTTCACTAATGTTGTTAAATGACCATCCACTAACTGCTGAGTAATTCAAGAAGCAATTTTTTTATATTATATATTTTTTATTTAAAAATGAGTACCACCCTGTAAGCACGTCAATTTTAATCTATAATATCGAATTTGCATGAAAAATCTAAAATAATTATTAATAATTAGTAGATATTTATTGTAATTATGCATCTGACGTTACTAAGAAAAGACTACAGTGCTTGATCTTTTATTTCCTGCATTTTATTTGAAATTGGAGAACTAGTTGCGGTTATAAAGCGGCTCGTGACCAAAGCAGTTTATTCACCGCAAGTGGAAAACCCCACACAAAGTGTCCAAAAATTTAATATTCACGCAAATAGTGATTATAAACACAAGCAAAACATGCGTTTGGCAAATATTAGACTAGGCCGAAAATTGCATATACCATTCGTGAATAAAATTAAGCTTTATCTACCATTTGAGCAGCGTTTAACCTAGATTGCATTTACAAGTGTTTTAGTATTTACAACGTTGCCAACGTTTATTCCAATTTTCCATACACTTCCTATGAGCCTCGGCTGATACCTATGGCCTTCAGTGTTTCCAACGAATTTTGGTTTCTTGCCGTGCCGACCATTCGTCCAACCAAGGTCGTTTTGCGTCGTCGATGACTTTRCGACTTCTATTCGTGATAAATTAAACTTCCTAAAACAAATGTTTCTACGATTCCGTAACCGCGATTCCATTCGAAGCACATTTCTTCATTTTAAATTTTTTTTCGATAGCAAAAATCGCTCGACAACCATTAAGCATTTTACACAAAGAGTTCTCAAACACACCATAACTGACATATTCGTATGGTTTTGCAATCTAGTACCTCACAAATTTATCGTAAAATTTKACATTTTTGATTTCATACATACTCAGGACGTTTTGACAAATCAGTGCTCTTTGTGTTATTTACAGTGGCTTAAAATATTCACCTTAGCCAAGAAATGGAAATAAATTGTGAACATTTTCGCGCGATTATTTTTACAACCTTCGACGTGGTTTAGCTCATCAATGGAGCATAGATGAACTTAATTAAAATGTTGACGATGAAGCCCCATCAA